GTAGCCACGGTGGATGATTCTGTAGAAGTTTCTGATAATTTGTTGTGGCAAGCAAATGCTGGACCTTGTAGACACACGTAAAGTTCCTGACATTTTTTGACGTTGTTTGTTTTTGAGAACTGCTACTGCTTTATCTAATGTTCCGGTCTACACTGACATTGTGGTCTGGTTGCTATGGTTACACTGACATTCCCCATTTTCGTGACATCTTTTATTATATTTATTTCCACGGTGGGCCACTAGGAATGGTGGTATCTTGTCCACTGTTCTCGCCAATATAGATGACGGTTATTATTGATATATAACTTATTTTATTCTTTGCCAATTATCAAGGAGAATCTCGAAAAGTCTACAAATGTCTCCTGCCCAATTAAATTATCAGGACCCTTGCCGAATGTCTGTTGGTTCATTTGTGGCCTTATTAACATGGCCCAATACGAAGCAGGATCACCGCTAAAATCCAATCCTAAATCTAATAACACAACCTTATTAATGTAGTTATACACCGGGCCACGCTAGGGTAGCTAATTAGTATCTGGGTATTTCAATAATATCATATATTTAATATAATATTATATATTTAATATAATATCATATATTTAATATAATATCATATATTTAATATAATATCATATATTTAATATAATATCATATATTTAATATAATATTATATATTTAATATAATATCATATATTTAATATAATATCATATATTTAATATAATATTATATATTTAATATAATATCATATATTTAATATAATATTATATATTTAATATAATATCATATATTTAATATAATATCATATATTTAATATAATATTATATATTTAATATAATATCATATATTTAATATAATATCATATATTTAATATAATATCATATATTTAATATGATATTATATATTTAATATAATATTACGCACACATGTGCGTGTGTCTGCGTGTGTTATTTACAAACGGCTAAATCAAGAAAACGGTAAGAGGTACGTGGTTGGTTTTTTGGTCTAGTGCCGATAAAACTCTGACGAAGCCATATATATATATATATAGTACATTATTATATTACTTTAGCAAGTTCCATATTATTATTACCAGTGAAAATGTTGACCGCAATGGTAAGTTGATATGGAGGTTTCAATACAAAATTCCTAATGCAGTACCTAATGCAGTACCTAATGCGGTACCAAATGCGGTACCTAATGCGGTACCAAATGCGGTACCTAAAGTGGTACCTATGGCCTATGATTATTAATAAGTTGCGACTTAGTAAGTTGGATAACGGTACAGTTTACTTCACTGTAATGTTATTAGTACAATGTTAATGTTAACTCCGATAGGTGATCCGCGATTTTAATAATAATATAATTACAACGGTGAAATCGTTAATACGCTTATTTGACTTATTATATTATTATCAAATAGATTATACTATTGTACTAACATAATTCAACGTGTGTGTATCGTATTATACTATATCGTTTATTAGCTTATTAGATTATAGAGCGATCTGCAGCTGTAGATGATGGAGAATATCGTTAGTCTTAAAGTTTAATGATTTGGTGATATCACTTAGTAGTGGTATACCTCTAAGATATATAACTAATAATACGAATATAACAATACGGTGATGTTACTAAAGACTAGAAATAGTGTGGAGGTACAGGTCCTGGACCCCGTTTATAAGGTCCCTGTGTACCGTTTATAAGGGCCTGTGTACTGTTTATAAAGTCCCTTTGTATCGTTTATAAGGTCCTGTGCACCGTTTATAAGGTCCTGTGTACCGTTTATAAGGGCCTGTGTACTGTTTATAACCAAGACATTGTTTATAATAGAGTAATTTATAACCAAGACATTGTTTATAATAGAGTAATTTATAACCAAGACTTTGTTTATAATAGAGTGATAATACTGTGTAACAGATCAATGTACTGGTATTAGACGACATGTTACAACAGTAACCATGGTAACCACTAGTTACAACATGATGTTTGATAAGACCTGAGAGATTGACGGGTATTATTGTGAACAGATAATGAGTTCATCGCCTATTTCACGGGTGCTTTGTAACACTGTTTCACTATAAATAGTATTATATAAGCATAATATATTAATTTAATATATTAACATATATCATGTTAGCTGTAAAAATCAAACCCTACCATCACACATTAAGTTAAGCGAGGTAAGGATCGGTTTTACCAAACCTCTTTCATCACTTTTGTTCCCGGTCCGTACACTTATAAATTAACACAGCGGCAAAGAAGTGGGGAGAAAATGGTCAGCAATCGTCCAAAAACTGCCCAAAAACCCTTTCGCCCCCCTGAGCGCTGCCTCCGAGACTTTGGTTTGACGTCACTACCACCGAACTGGCACAGAATTAACACTGAGCCGTCTACCTGACCTGCAGCTTAGCACTCTCCGCAGTTGAGTGCTAGAGTTGACTGCTAGAGTTGACTGCTAGAGTTGACTGCTAGAGTTGACTGCTAGAGTTGACTGCTAGAGTTGACTGCTAGAGTTGACTGCTAGAGTTGACTGCTAGAGTTGACTGCTAGAGTTGACTGCTAGAGTTGACTGCTAGAGTTGACTGCTAGAGTTGACTGCTAGAGTTGACTGCTAGAGTTGACTGCTAGAGTTGACTGCTAGAGTTGACTGCTAGAGTTGACTGCTAGAGTTGACTGCTAGAGTTGACTGCTAGAGTTGACTGCTAGAGTTGACTGCTAGAGTTGACTGCTAGAGTTGACTGCTAGAGTTGACTGCTAGAGTTGACTGCTAGAGTTGACTGCTAGAGTTGACTGCTAGAGTTGACTGCTAGAGTTGACTGCTAGAGTTGACTGCTAGAGTTGACTGCTAGAGTTGACTGCTAGAGTTGACTGCTAGAGTTTCAGTCAGTATATTTCAATGTGTTTTTGTTAATGATGTCCACGAAGTACGTGACCATTTTTAGCACTCTAATAAAAAATAATTTGATAAATGATAATACGCTAAATTAATAAACTGTCGTCTATACAATACTATAGTATAATACACATAGGTTCAATAAATATTAATGTGACACATAATAACCTCATGAGTAGTGTTGTCATGATAACATGGTAACCATAGTAACCAGACCACGGAGTATCAGGGTAACCATAGTAACCAGACCACGGAGTATCAGGGTAACCATAGTAACCAGACCACGGAGTATCAGGGTAACCATAGTAACCAGACCACGGAGTATCAGGGTAACCATAGTAACCAGACCACGGAGTATCAGGGTAACCATAGTAACCAGACCACGGAGTATCAGGGTAACCATAGTAACCAGACCACGGAGTATCAGGGTAACCATAGTAACCAGACCCCGGAGTATCAGGGTAACCATAGTAACCAGACCACGGAGTATCAGGGTAACCATAGTAACCAGACCACGGAGTATCAGGGTAACCATAGTAACCAGACCCCGGAGTATCAGGGTAACCATAGTAACCAGACCACGGAGTATCAGGGTAACCATAGTAACCAGACCCCGGAGTATCAGGGTAACCATAGTAACCAGACCACGGAGTATCAGGGTAACCATAGTAACCAGACCACGGAGTATCAGGGTAACCATAGTAACCAGACCACGGAGTATCAGGGTAACCATAGTAACCAGACCACGGAGTATCAGGGTAACCATAGTAACCAGACCACGGAGTATCAGGGTAACCATAGTAACCAGACCACGGAGTATCAGGGTAACCATAGTAACCAGACCACGGAGTATCAGGGTAACCATAGTAACCAGACCCCGGAGTATCAGGGTAACCATAGTAACCAGACCACGGAGTATCAGGGTAACCATAGTAACCAGACCACGGAGTATCAGGGTAACCATAGTAACCAGACCCCGGAGTATCAGGGTAACCATAGTAACCAGACCACGGAGTATCAGGGTAACCATAGTAACCAGACCACGGAGTATCAGGGTAACCATAGTAACCAGACCACGGAGTATCAGGGTAACCATAGTAACCAGACCACGGAGTATCAGGGTAACCGTAGTAACCAGGCCACGGAGTATCAGGGTAACCGTAGTAACCAGACCACGGAGTATCAGGGTAACCGTAGTAACCAGACCACGGAGTATCAGGGTAACCATAGTAACCAGACCACGGAGTATCAGGGTAACCATAGTAACCAGACCACGGAGTATCAGGGTAACCATAGTAACCAGACCACGGAGTATCAGGGTAACCATAGTAACCAGACCACGGAGTATCAGGGTAACCATAGTAACCAGACCCCGGAGTATCAGGGTAACCGTAGTAACCAGACCACGGAGTTGACCACTAGTCCCGTGTGTATTCTAAAATATAACCCTTTTCTCGTGTTGAATTTACTTCTCTCCTTCCACAGCCCGTTTGTCTCATGTTGTTGTACTTTACTAGTTTCGAAATGTTGACATCAGAATTCAGAAAACTTGTGTGATTGTCGTCATGATTGTCGTCTTCGGTTTGTACATTACTCATCGTGCAACACAGGAACTGTTTCGCAATCCTCAACATCAAGCTGCACAGTGAACACGTGATGCCCATATAAGGAGCGCTGCTTATATCAGACAAGTGAGATATTTCTCCGAGCCTAAAACTAATTAGTACTATTAGTAACTAATAATAGGGGGCTGTAAGTCGTCTCTACTTTCCTGTGTTAACAGACTTGTCGACAATGTCGCTGTGTCGCAACCTTGTTGCTGTGTCGCAACATTGTCGCTGTGTCGCAACCTTGTCACTGTGTCGCAACCTTGTCGCTGTGTCACAACCTTGTCGCTGTGTCGCAACCTTGTCGCTGTGTCGCAACCTTGTCGCTGTGTCGCAACCTTGTCACTGTAGCGCTGTGTCGCAACCTTGTTGCTGTCTCACTGGTTGCAACCTTGTCACTGTGTTGCAACCTTGTCACCGCGTCGCAACCTTGTCACTGTGTCGCAACCTTGTCACTGTGTCGCAACCTTATCGATGTAGAGCTGATGGAGTAATATTAATGATATACTCAGAAGAGGGTGATATTATTAACGTTGCTAAGAGTGCAGGACGTAATGTCACTAGTAACATGTTGCAGGACAACAAGAGTGCAGGACGTAATGTCACTAGTAACATGTTGCAGGACAACAAGAGTGCAGGACGTAATGTCACTAGTAACATGTTGCAGGACAACAAGAGTGCAGGACGTAATGTCACTAGTAACATGTTGCAGGACAACAAGAGTGCAGGACGTAATGTCACTAGTAACACGTTGCAGGACAACAAGAGTGCAGGACGTAATGTCACTAGTAACATGTTGCAGGACAACAAGAGTGCAGGACGTAATGTCACTAGTAACATGTTACAGGACAACAAGAGTGCAGGACGTAATGTCACTAGTAACATGTTGCAGGACAACAAGAGTGCAGGACGTAATGTCACTAGTAACACGTTGCAGGACAACAAGAGTGCAGGACGTAATGTCACTAGTAACATGTTGCAGGACAACAAGAGTGCAGGACGTAATGTCACTAGTAACATGTTACAGGACAACAAGAGTGCAGGACGTAATGTCACTAGTAACATGTTACAGGACAACAAGAGTGCAGGACGTAATGTCACTAGTAACATGTTGCAGGACAACAAGAGTGCAGGACGTAATGTCACTAGTAACATGTTGCAGGACAACAAGAGTGCAGGACGTAATGTCACTAGTAACATGTTGCAGGACAACAAGAGTGCAGGACGTAATGTCACTAGTAACATGTTGCAGGACAACAAGAGTGCAGGACGTAATGTCACTAGTAACATGTTGCAGGACAACAAGAGTGCAGGACGTAATGTCACTAGTAACATGTTGCAGGACAACAAGAGTGCAGGACGTAATGTCACTAGTAACATGTTGCAGGACAACAAGAGTGCAGGACGTAATGTCACTAGTAACATGTTGCAGGACAACAAGAGTGCAGGACGTAATGTCACTAGTAACATGTTGCAGGACAACAAGAGTGCAGGACGTAATGTCACTAGTAACATGTTGCAGGACAACAAGAGTGCAGGACGTAATGTCACTAGTAACATGTTGCAGGACAACAAGAGTGCAGGACGTAATGTCACTAGTAACATGTTGCAGGACAACAAGAGTGCAGGACGTAATGTCACTAGTAACATGTTGCAGGACAACAAGAGTGCAGGACGTAATGTCACTAGTAACATGTTGCAGGACAACAAGAGTGCAGGACGTAATGTCACTAGTAACATGTTGCAGGACAACAAGAGTGCAGGACGTAATGTCACTAGTAACATGTTGCAGGACAACAAGAGTGCAGGACGTAATGTCACTAGTAACATGTTGCAGGACAACAAGAGTGCAGGACGTAATGTCACTAGTAACATGTTGCAGGACAACAAGAGTGCAGGACGTAATGTCACTAGTAACATGTTGCAGGACAACAAGAGTGCAGGACGTAATGTCACTAGTAACATGTTGCAGGACAACAAGAGTGCAGGACGTAATGTCACTAGTAACATGTTGCAGGACAACAAGAGTGCAGGACGTAATGTCACTAGTAACATGTTGCAGGACAACAAGAGTGCAGGACGTAATGTCACTAGTAACATGTTGCAGGACAACAAGAGTGCAGGACGTAATGTCACTAGTAACATGTTGCAGGACAACAAGAGTGCAGGACGTAATGTCACTAGTAACATGTTGCAGGACAACAAGAGTGCAGGACGTAATGTCACTAGTAACATGTTGCAGGACAACAAGAGTGCAGGACGTAATGTCACTAGTAACATGTTGCAGGACAACAAGAGTGCAGGACGTAATGTCACTAGTAACATGTTACAGGACAACAAGAGTGCAGGACGTAATGTCACTAGTAACATGTTACAGGACAACAAGAGTGCAGGACGTAATGTCACTAGTAACATGTTACAGGACAACAAGAGTGCAGGACGTAATGTCACTAGTAACATGTTGCAGGACAACAAGAGTGCAGGACGTAATGTCACTAGTAACATGTTGCAGGACAACAAGAGTGCAGGACGTAATGTCACTAGTAACATGTTGCAGGACAACAAGAGTGCAGGACGTAATGTCACTAGTAACATGTTGCAGGACAACAAGAGTGCAGGACGTAATGTCACTAGTAACATGTTGCAGGACAACAAGAGTGCAGGACGTAATGTCACTAGTAACATGTTGCAGGACAACAAGAGTGCAGGACGTAATGTCACTAGTAACATGTTGCAGGACAACAAGAGTGCAGGACGTAATGTCACTAGTAACATGTTGCAGGACAACAAGAGTGCAGGACGTAATGTCACTAGTAACATGTTGCAGGACAACAAGAGTGCAGGACGTAATGTCACTAGTAACATGTTGCAGGACAACAAGAGTGCAGGACGTAATGTCACTAGTAACATGTTGCAGGACAACAAGAGTGCAGGACGTAATGTCACTAGTAACATGTTGCAGGACAACAAGAGTGCAGGACGTAATGTCACTAGTAACATGTTGCAGGACAACAAGAGTGCAGGACGTAATGTCACTAGTAACATGTTGCAGGACAACAAGAGTGCAGGACGTAATGTCACTAGTAACATGTTACAGGACAACAAGAGTGCAGGACGTAATGTCACTAGTAACATGTTGCAGGACAACAAGAGTGCAGGACGTAATGTCACTAGTAACATGTTGCAGGACAACAAGAGTGCAGGACGCAATGTCACTAGTAACATGTTGCAGGACAACAAGAGTGCAGGACGCAATGTCACTAGTAACATGTTGCAGGACAACAAGAGTGCAGGACGTAATGTCACTAGTAACATGTTGCAGGACAACAAGAGTGCAGGACGTAATGTCACTAGTAACATGTTGCAGGACAACAAGAGTGCAGGACGCAATGTCACTAGTAACATGTTGCAGGACAACAAGAGTGCAGGACGCAATGTCACTAGTAACATGTTACAGGACAACAAGAGTGCAGGACGTAATGTCACTAGTAACATGTTGCAGGACAACAAGAGTGCAGGACGTAATGTCACTAGTAACATGTTGCAGGACAACAAGAGTGCAGGACGTAATGTCACTAGTAACATGTTGCAGGACAACAAGAGTGCAGGACGTAATGTCACTAGTAACATGTTGCAGGACAACAAGAGTGCAGGACGTAATGTCACTAGTAACATGTTGCAGGACAACAAGAGTGCAGGACGTAATGTCACTAGTAACATGTTGCAGGACAACAAGAGTGCAGGACGTAATGTCACTAGTAACATGTTGCAGGACAACATGGAAAGCCTCATAAACACAGCTTTATAACTGGTAGGTGCATTAAGCTGCTATTAGTGGGGTCATTTGTCTCACAGTGCAGGTCTGCATGTGTGTTATATGATATTTACGCTTTTGAGTGATCATTTAGCTTTTTCGCTCTGCACTTGAATTTGAATTTTTAATTGCAGATAGTTGCAAATCTGTCACCTTCATTTTGTGATATCCCTCTGATAATTGTTATTCTAGTTGTTATTGTTGGGGGGGGGGGGGGGGGGGGGGGTTGTTATTCTAGTTGTTATTGTTGGGGGGGGGGGGGGGGGGGCTTGTTATTCTAGTCGTTATTGTTGGGGGGGGGGGGCTTGTTATTCTAGTTGTTATTGTTGAGTTGTTGGGGGGGGGGGGGGGGGCTTGTTGGTCAGCCTAGTCAGCTAAAAGTCCTGTGCTGCTAGTTTCACCTACTAAAGGAAGATAATAACTGTCGCATAGCATCAGGGTAACCATAGTTACCAGGGCCGGTCTAGAGAACATGTTAGACTTTCTACAAAGTGTTTCAGATGTATAAGTACTCAGCCTAGTGCTGTATGTCCAGAGTTGGTCCGAATATTTTATAGATCTATTACTGAAGCTGTAGACGTATACCACTAGTTACTTTGTTGGTAACTTGTCAATAGTAACCATAGTAGCCAGTAACAATTAAATGCTCCCAAGAACGTCTACATTAGGTATATACATATGTTGTGACGTCATGTCACGTGCTATACAATACATGTCACGTGTTCAGCAGTAGATTGACAAGTATATAATCACCTCACTTACTGTTACTCTGTTAAATGTCACAGCTCCGGATGGTAGAATAATGGGTACCGGCTCTCTATAGACTTTATCAGAGTGTAACTGGTAACTTTTGTGTCAGTTAAAAAGTTTCAGGCGGTAGTTTTTACTGAAATGGTGGGTACCATTAGTAGTTACATGTTGTGTATGAGATGAAGGGTGGTCTAGAAACATATAATCGTTAGGTTGTTGCTTCAGAAGCCTTTTAATTGTTAATAACATATTATATTTTAAAATAACATATGTTAACCGTCTTCAGCTCCAGTCTACCACTTGTCTGAAGTCTGAAATAGTTACCATGACAGCACTACTACGTAGTGGGTACCGTTGCACCCTGTTCTTCTTTTTCATGTCTATTTTCTGGAACTTTTGCTTCGTGGTATCTCACAGACCAATGAGAACATGTTGGTGGCGCTGTAATCTAGATTACCAAGAATAATAACAATAAGATTCCTTACTGATCTTACGAAGAAAAATAGGTTGTGCCCCTTTTTCAACTTATTTGCCTATCAGACATGGGCACCGTATTGTGTAAATTACTAAGTTATAACTTATACAATATCTTTGCTGCACAGTAGCGGGGTAGTGAATACTGTGTTTCGTTTCGTTTCGTTTCGTTTCGTTTCGTTTCGTTTCAGTTCTTAACGTTTTGAACACTCGCTAGAATATTCTAGCTTTATCATGAACTATCCTTTCACGCAACTACTAAGTCATCTTAATCAAGAAACTCTTCTTAAGTCAATAATTAATTGCTAGGCCAGAACAGTCCAGAAAATACGGTACAAGTACTCAGTTAACATATTTATTATTGTTATAATGTCTGAGAAATCGTATAATTTCCCTCGTCCACCGGGCACCGTGTCAGTTAACAGTTCAGAACCTTAAGTTATGGTCTATTGGTCTCATGTCTCGAGCTGACGGTCTATAACTATTTAATTCTCTCAGTTCGAGTATTTTAAGGTTATCTATATAGGTCACGTGACTAGACTTATATACTGATATAGTGGCGTAACACAGCGGGGTCGTTACGCTACTGATATAGTGGCGTAACACAGCGGGGTCGTTACGCCACTGATATAGTGGCGTAACACAGCGGGGTCGTTACGCTACTGATATAGTGGCGTAACACAGCGGGGTCGTTACGCCACTGATATAGTGACGTAACACAGCGGGGTCGTTACGCTACTGATACAGTGGCGTAACACAGCGGGGTCGTTACGCCACTGATATAGTGACGTAACACAGCGGGGTCGTTACGCCACTGATATAGTGACGTAACACAGCGGGGTCGTTACGCCACTGATATAGTGGCGTAACACAGCGGGGTCGTTACGCCACTGATATAGTGGCGTAACACAGCGGGGTCGTTACGCTACTGATATAGTGGCGTAACACAGCGGGGTCGTTACGCTACTGATATAGTGGCGTAACACAGCGGGGTCGTTACGCTACTGATATAGTGGCGTAACACAGCGGGGTCGTTACGCTACTGATACAGTGGCGTAACACAGCGGGGTCGTTACGCCACTGATATAGTGACGTAACACAGCGGGGTCGTTACGCCACTGATATAGTGACGTAATACAGCGGGGTCGTTACGCCACTGATATAGTGGCGTAACACAGCGGGGTCGTTACGCTACTGATACAGTGGCGTAACACAGCGGGGTCGTTACGCCACTGATATAGTGGCGTAACACAGCGGGGTCGTTACGCTACTGATACAGTGGCGTAACACAGCGGGGTCGTTACGCCACTGATATAGTGACGTAACACAGCGGGGTCGTTACGCCACTGATATAGTGACGTAATACAGCGGGGTCGTTACGCCACTGATATAGTGGCGTAACACAGCGGGGTCGTTACGCTACTGATACAGTGGCGTAACACAGCGGGGTCGTTACGCCACTGATATAGTGGCGTAACACAGCGGGGTCGTTACGCCACTGATATAGTGGCGTAACACAGCGGGGTCGTTACGCTACTGATACAGTGGCGTAACACAGCGGGGTCGTTACGCCACTGATATAGTGGCGTAACACAGCGGAATCGTTACGCCACTGATATAGTGGCGTAACACAGCGGGGTCGTTACGCCACTGATATAGGTCTGTGATTTGGACTATAATTAACCTGCTATTATTTAGGATATTTATACTCGCCATCTCATCTAATTATTTAATTAATTTACTTAATCGCGTGGTTAACGCTCGTAATTTTGGTTTGGAATGCGGTGTGCCCAAGAAAAGTTGAAGCTCGTTACTTTAGTTGCTGTAATAACTGTTTTGATCGCTGAGTTGAGATTAAGTCATGATGTTAAATGGGTTTATGAGAGTGTAAACGTTTGGGACTGTTTGAGTATTAATAATGGTTGGACATCATAAATTCAAGTTTAGTGAATCAGACCTACATTTCAGCTTAATTTTAATTAGCTATTTGGTGACCAAGTGAAAGGATACCTTATTAACCGCATAGTGGGGGGGGATCAAAAACAACCCCCCCCCCCCCATAATTAACAGCTTCATCAGTACTCAAATTATTTGTTATAAATGTTAAAACTTTTCCACCAGATTACTTATTCCAAGATACAATTAACGGTTATCAAGTTATTCAAACGCTTTCGCAGTTCCACTTGACTTCATGATTGTATAAATTCTTTCTTTAGCTTGTCACAAAATGTAATATTTATTATCCGATCACGATTGTTGAGATCGTAGATTGGTTTTTAACTCACTCCAACGTATTTAAATATCTTTAAATCGTGGCTCCGCAAGCTTGATTTCAGACCACTCTTATTGTATCAGATTATTATTTATCATGAGCAACTTTGATATCTGTATGTAGGAGTGTCCCGGTGGAGGATAAAAGGTTATAGCAGCACTTTGAGCTGGTACTTTCGGGTACTTTCGGGCACTTTCGGGTCCTTTCGTGTACTTTCGGGTCCTTTCGTGTGTTTTTGAGTACATTTGAGTACTTTCGAGTACTTTCGGGTCCTTTCGAGTACTTCTTTGTGTCAGAATGCACTACAGTCTACTTTCTAAAAGTATTCTTATCTTGGTCACTCTCAGAGCGGGGGGGGGGGGGGGGGGGGTACCTGATCCCCCCGCTCTGAGCAGGGGGGTACCTGATCCCCCCGGCCCCCGCTCTGAGCCCTATCTTCCACTGAAACCCTATTATCACTTACAAATTATCTGATTTATGGGAACAGCTCTAAATTATATTCTAACCCAGCATAGCTCTGTGTCCGCGACTTCTAAGATAAAAGAAATGCTGTAAGGATCTGAAGCCAGTAAAGTGTGGAACGTCTCTGTATTACCTCTCTGTAGAAACCAGACTCTTACTGCTATTACAGTAGCAGTAACAGATTAGGTACTTCCATCTTCTGCTACTAGACTGTAAGTAGTAACAAGTTAAGTATTACTAATAACTCTGTAAAAAGTTAAATATTACTAATAACTCTGTAAAAAGTTGAATATTACTAATATCTCTGTACAAATATGCGCATGTTAATCTTCTGCTACTAGACTAAAAGAGCAGTTTCCCTTGGTCCCTCTAAACACTCTTGGTCGCATATAATACGGAATTATCAGAAACTTTAAACTCTAAACATCACAACAATGCGACTCATAAATAATTTTCCTATCCGGATATTACTAGACTATAAGCTTATAAGTAGCACAAAGTTAAATACAAATGTTTATGTCGATTGTAAAATCGTTTTCCTTTGCTGCTGATGCTAGACCAGTAAAAAGTTAAATATGTACTAGGATTTGATATGTTAAATATGTTAAATATGTTAAATATGTTAAATATGTTACATATGCACTAGGATTAAATATGTTAAATATGTTAATTATGTTAAATATGTTAAATATGTACTATGATTTAATATGTTAAATATGTTAATATGCTAAATATGTTAATTATGTTAAATATGTTAAATATGTAGTACGATTTAATATGTTAAATATGTTAATTATGTTAAATATGTTAAATATGTACTAGGATTTAATATTTAATGATAAGTTCGTTGATCACTGTGGGTTTGGTCTGCTACTCCCACTATTTCAATATTTTAATTTTACTATATTCGCAATAAAAGGACAATTATTCGGGCTTAGCACTTTCTATTTTCTGTTATTTTGAACTTCTGCCAAAATCTAAAGTTGATCGTGCTTAGTATGTGATACAAAATATCCTGAAGTTTTTGCAAACATTT